AAAAAAAAAATCCTTCAATAAAACTTTGAAAAGGAAAAAAATAAATAAAGAAAGAATAATAAAATAAAGACTTGAACTTTACTATAACAGTACTTAAATTACTCCCTTAATCTCTGGAGCTGGGATTGAAACCGAGGGTTTCTGCATGTTAAAGTGAGTGCATTGCCATGGAGTTTATTCCGTCCGCCTAGATTGTAGCCTTTGTAAACAAGCAAAAATGCCTTGCTAAATTGACCTGTCCACAGCAGACAGTTCATTTAACTATAGAAATGAACCCCCTGGTGAAGGTAGGTGTGGTTTGAATGCTCAAGCTTTGATTCTTCTTTTGAGAGGCAGAATGTGAGAAAAACAAATTTGGTAACTTTCTGCCCAAATTAGGTTTGAATTGCAGTGGAACTCAAGCTGCTGAGTCTAAAAATGTTTAGGACTCAGTATTACTACGGTGTTTAAAATTTTGCTTCACGTTTCTGGTGTCTGTTAGATGTAACAAATTTCTTGCTATACTGTGTAAAGACAAACTAGTCACAAAAAGATGTGTAACATTTTACTAGTAGTAACAGTAGTGCATTTATAGACACTTTGGGAAAGTAATTTCTCTTTGACTCATTTTATGGCAGTTTGCCATCAAAGTGTAGCTCCCTTTCTGGAGCTGTAGTACATAGAGTACTTTCACCAAATACAGAGGTGAAAAAAAACCCTGTAAAATATGTTAGTATTAATTGTTGATTAAAGCAATTCTGGATTAGTTTGGGTGATAACCTGGAAGGCTTCCAAGATGTAGAATTTGGAACCTAAATCAAATGTTTGAGTAGAAATTCTTAGAAAAGTTTTTGGTTTACAAAAAGAGCTACAGAGAAAGGAGATTCACCTTGGCTAGTATCCAAAATTCACTCAATACAAATACTTTCCTTAAGTGTGTGTTTGCAGTCTTGAGGTCACTGCTTCAGAAAGGAGGAATGAGAAACCTTTGGAATAAAGGGATGAGTACATATTTTGGATCTTCCATTCTGTAATCCAGAGTGAATTCTGAACTGTTGAGGACTCAGCATTATAATTATTTAAATAGTAGGTGTCAAACGGTAAGATAAATATTTGCTTTTGGGGCTGCGGAGATGGCTCAGTAGAATAAGTGCTTCCTTAGCAAGCGCAAGGACCCAAGTTCAATCCCTGGTTCTGAAAAAAAAAAAAAAAAAACAATACTTTAAATTTAAGTGTGGTAATCAGTGTATTTTTATCTTTAACTTTAATATTTTTGTAGCACTGGGGGGGGGGTGAACCCCAGGACCTCTGTACTGAGCTACATACCCATATACTCAGTCCCTATCCCCCACCCCCACCCCTTTAAAGACAGGGTCTTGCTTGTTTCTCAGGCTGGGCTTGAACTAGCAATCCTCATTACAGATGGGCACCACCATAATTATAGCTCTGGTAATCATTTTAGAGAAAGAGTAATCCTAGGCAAGACACTAAACCTGAAGTGCATCTGGAAAGTACATTTTTGTTTGTGGGAAACATTAAATGTGTGGGCAGCAGAGGTCAAAAATGAGAAGTCAGAGCTGGGCGTAGTGGTGGATGCCTATAATTCCCAAAGACTGAGATAAGAGGATTGCCATGAGTTTGAGGTCAGCCTGAACTATATAGTGAGATATGGTTTCAAAAAAAAAGACTATACTCCATATTTGAATTACTAATTATACTTTGTATTTAATCAGCTTTCATTGGTTTTTAATGTAAAAAAAAGATACAAAGTATCAAAGTTTAAAATGGTTTAATGGCCTGGCTTCCATTTTATATCTTTCCAGGTGACAGTAGGAGTCATCAGTCTGTGAGCATGGCTGAGAAGAGATTAGCATTTCCTTCAGTTACTGAGTAATTGTAGTTCTGCAAACGAAAGGATTTAGTTGAAGTTAGGCCACCTTCTCAAATAAAGCCTTATTCTCCATTTAGCAGAATATCCATATCCCCCTTCTTCTAGTTTAATCTTTATTCTAGTACATTTGACACAGATATTAGCAAATTACTAACTATACTCCATATTTAATAAGATCTCATTGGTTTTTATCTCATGTGAATAATATATATATATATATATATTATACACATATATATATAGCCTGTGGATCACATTATTACCTTAGCCATCTTGCTCTCTTAGGGTTCTGTAGATGGTGACTATCTTAGACTCTGTTTCCAATAGCCTGGAGGGCTTTTTTTTTTTTTTATTTTTATTTATGTGTGTGTATGTGTGTGTGGCCAGCTCAGCCCACCAGGGGGCGGGGCTGGCTGGCATGTGGTGCTGGGGGATTGAACCGCGGTCCCTGTGCTTTGCTAAGCTTGTTCTAAGTAGGTGCTTTAGACCACTGAGCCATCTCACCAGCCCTGGAGGGCTTTTTTTTTAAAGTTTATTTTTATTTTGTGTGTGTGTGTGTGTGTGTGGCCAGCTCAGCCCACCTGGGGGCGGAGCTGGCTGGCATGTGGTACTGGGGAATTGAAC